AAAAGAGATGCTCAACCCTCCTCCCCCCATTATTTTTTCTCTGCTGGCAACCTTCAACATTTTCCTATTATTACAACTAGCAGAATCCTGTACTTTTACTCATACGAACTTTATGCATACAAAGCAGCTATAAACTCTCTCTTCTTATAGCTACAGTTACCGCTATCTTTTTTCTCTGTTCATCAGTAGTGTTTGATGCAGGCAGTGCAAGGAAGTGTTTTGGTATATGTACAAACTATCGATTAGATTTCACCTGATTTAAAAGACTGTCAACCAAGACAAAAGCTCCTAAGCTACCTGGTCCTCTTCTACTGAATTATTGAAGTGTCTCTTCTAGCTGAATGTATGCACAGAATAATTAGTCAGTAGGAGACCAGCTTTCGCTTTAGGATGCTGATGAATATTGCATCTCTTTGCTGTTTGTTTGTACAACAACTACAAAGAAAACATTTGGAATGACTATAGCCATCAGTCTGGAAATATTCCAGAACTATTTTGAATATCATATTTATGATACTTTGCACTCATAGTGCTTTACAAACCAGTCCAAACCCCTTGGTAATTTACCTTTGGTAGCATTATCTCCAATTTACAGACAGGTAAACTGAAACACAGAAATAATGGCTTGCTTGGAGGCATTGCGAGTCAGTGACTAACGAAGTAGAACTTTGGAATCCTGTCTTCCAGTTTTATGCTCCAATTCAGTGATACTCAGACTGAGGCTTATGGCCTTCAAACAATGCTTTAATGGCCTGGTCTACACTACAGCAGGATGGTGCCTGAATGGAGTTTGAGAGGCCATACGGACCAAATTGCAATATAAAGCAACTGTAGTAAATAAACCCATGTGGACAACAGAGAGAGCAGAACCCACAGAAGCTATTCAGAAGTTCGTAAGATATACAATTATATAGCTGGAGTCAATGTATCTTAAGTCACGTTTCCACGCTGCCAATACAGTGAGAGGTTGACAGGAGCAAATGTTCCTGTTGGTTTCCCTTACTCCTCATGAGGTGCAGGAGTACCAGCCCCAATGTAGATGCCCTATGAGTTTGATTTAGTGCAGTGTTTCTTAAACTGTGTTCTGCGGCCCACCAGTGTGCCGTGGAGATCAATGGAATTCAAATTGGCCGCCCTTAAAGGGGCAGGTGACCTTTTTTTCCCTCAATAACTTTCCCCTGAACCTTTTTTTTTTTTTTTTTTTGCTCCTTGGTGTTCCTCATTAAAAAACAATTGTTTGGTGTTTCTCAGTCTTAAAAAGTTTAAGAAATACTGATTTAGTGGGTCTTCACTAGAGCCGCTAAATTGATCCACAGAAGATCAACCACAGTAGCATTGATCTTCAGCGTAATGTAGACATGGCCAAGGTGTCTCCTATAGCTCTTTGTAGCTCATTATATTAAAGTAAGTTACCAGTCAGGATGCTTTTACTATGTGATTACCAATTCAGTTATCAATTTGCACTTATATGCCTAGATTTTAGTAAGGCATTTGATATGGTCTCGCATGATATTCTTCTCAATAAACTAGGCAAATACAACTTAGATGGGACCACTATAAGGTGGGTGCATAACTGGCTGGATAACTATTCTCAGAGAGTATTTATTAATGGTTCACTATCCTGCTGGAAGGGCATAACAAGTGGGTTTCCGCAGCGGTCTGTTTTGGGACTGGCTCTGTTCAATATCTTCATCAACGATTTAGATATTGGCATAGAGAGTACATTTATTACGTTTGCAGATGATACAAAGCTGGGAGGGGTTGCAACTTCTTTGGAAGATAGGGTGATAATTCAGAATGATCTGGACAAATTGGAGAAATGGTCTGAGGTAAATATGAAGGGTAATCATGATAAATGCAAAGTGCTTCACTTAGGAAAGAACAATCAGTCTCATGCATACAGAATAGGAAGCAACTGTCTAGGAAGGAATACTGCAGAAAGGGATCTAGGGGTCACAGTGGACCACAAGCTAAATATGAGTCAACAGTGTGACGCTATTGCCAAAAAAGCAAACATCATTCTGGGATGTATTAACATGAGTGTTGTGAGCAAGATACGAGAAGTCATTCTTCCGCTCTACTCTGTGCAAATTAGGCCTCAGTTGGAGTATTGTGTCCAGTTCTGAGTACCACATTTCAAAAAAGATGTGGAGAAATTGGAGAATGTCCAGAGAAGAGCAACAAGAATGATTAAAGGTCTAGAGAACAGGGCCTAAGAAGGAAGACTGAAAGAACTGGGCTTGTTTAGTTTGGAAAAGAGAAGACCGAGAAGGGACATGATCGCAGTTTTCAGGTATCTAAAAAGGTGTCACAATGAAGAGGGAGAAAAATTGTTCTCCTTAGCCTCTGAGGATAGGACAAGAAGCAATGGGCTTAAACTGCAGAAAGAGAGGTTTAGGTTGGACATTAGGAAAAACTTCCTGTCAGGGGGGTTAAACACTGGAATAAATTGTCTACGGAGGTTGTGGAATCTCCATCTCTGGCAATATTTAAGAGCAGGTTAGATAGACCTCTATCAGGGATGGTCTAGATGGTACTGGGTCCTGCTATGAGGTCCAGGGCTGGAGACTGGACTTGATGACCTCTCAAGGTCCCTTCCAGTTCCAGTGTTTTTATGAGTGTGGGAATATGTATATATAAAAACTACATATTTCCTGGAATGTTGGTTAAATATGAATAGTAAATAAAACAATGAATTTGCACTACTGTGGCTCTTGGGTAAAGCTGATTGCTAATTTGGCTCGTGAACCACTAAGGTCTGAGTATTACTGCTGTAGTTATTGGTCTTCACTGCCTATTGGAGGTGGGCCTACTATGTCTGTGTAGCTAGTTTGGTACATTATAACCTCTAAAGCTTGTAGCAATATATTAGATAACTTGCATAATGTGCTTCAATGCTTAACTGTAAATTTAGCTATTTTATACTGATCCTGTTTCCCAAGTGCTTTGGCTGCATCCCCTAGGAGTTTAGAACCTTTGCCTTGCTTATCCATTCATAGAAGGTGACCCACATTAATGTCAAGAGGTTATTAGCAACTGATTTCAAAAACATTATGATCAACTGACTTTAAAGTATGGCCAGCATCACTTCATTTTTTGGATCTTGGCAGGGGAAGTGCAGTAGCAGCTTCCATTGATGGCTGCCAAGTTCCTCTTTGCTGGAGCCAACAGCAATAGCATTGCCCTGGATTGGATTATGCACAAATGGGGTTTATCTAGAAATGGGACTGCATATTTTTCCAGCTCCTGTTTTGAGCTGCAGTTTTAGAATGGTGGGATACACTCCACTCTGCTAACCTCTCTCGCAGCTGTTGTGTACAAAGGTGACAGTCTGTCAACTTGCATATTGCTGTGGGCACCAATTTAAAAGCCTACATAAGTTTTAAAAAAAATCATGTGCTTTAAACAAGTCTTTATTTACCTGTTACATAATAATTATTAAACATGAAATTTCAAAATCTAAAATATGTCACAGTTATTTCTGCTTTTCTTTCTTCTGCATATTTCCCAGCTCACATGGGTATGTCTACACTGCGGTGGTTTTCCAGGATGCCAGAGGTATACTGGGAAAACTCTGCCACATCCAAGGAACATGTTTGCTCTTCCGCTTTTTTTTTTTGAGGAAGAGCAAACGTGCTCTTTCGGGGAGCCTTGTATACCTCATTCTACGAGGGATACAAGGGATAAGGGCTCTGCTAAAAGAGAAGGCTTTTCCGCCATTTGGCCCCGTCTAGATTGGGCCAAATAGTGGAAAAGCGTCTTCTGGGAAAGTGATCAGAAAAAGGTATGCAAATTGCGTAGCTTTTTCTGACAAAGGACTGTAGTATAGACCTAGCCATAATGAAAATCAATGAAGGTAAAATATCTAACACTGGAAAGAAGTGACTTGTCTTCAAATAACTATCTCCACTTTTGTTTGGTCGGTTGGGATTGCTTTTATTTTTAAGGTGGAAACATTTCTGTTGTCCTGAGCATTTTATAAAAACGTTGATTACAAAATCTAAATGTTCAGCTGTTAGTTTATATTCTCCCTTTAAAGTAGGATAGCTATCAAAGATAGCAGAGAGCAGTTCAAAGCAATTTGGGTAAAATAAGATGTGGCTCAGAGAGCTACATTCACCAGTTACATCTGCAGAGATATCAGTGGAATTACACTAGCAGAGAATTTGGCCCTAAATCTGAACCCTCAAATGTTAGTTAACCCCTCACCTCTCCATTCCAAACATATTTTCAGACCTTTAAAACCTTCCGGCTACCAAATTCGTCAAACCATCCCTAACAACTGAAAGCTACCTGGGACTTTCTACATAAGCATAAGATTCCCCTAATTTCCATACCAAAACATGAACCAAACCATTATCTTTTAACTCCAACATAAATTCCAGAAATAAAAAGTAGGCCTGTGGCACCTTAGAGATAGGGTTGCCAGGTGTCCAGTTTTGAACCGGATAGTCCAGTATTTGAGCTTTCTGTCCAGGAAACAAACTGAGAAAATATAAATGTCTGGTATTTACTAAATAAGATGGAATGTAGATTGTGATGTAATGTCAAGTGTGTACAGTATTTTTGTTGAAACCATCTGGCAACAGTACTTAGAGACTAGCAAGAGTATATATAGTATCATGAGTTTGCATGGGCAAAACCCACTTCTTCAGAAATTTCAAAAGGTCAAGATAGAATTCAGACCCCAAAAACTGAACCAGACCTATAAGTACAGATCTTTTTGGGGGCAGTTGAAGCAGTATAGTTCATTGAAAATAGAGAGTCAATGTAAATGAGTTATATAAGCCTAATGTTTCATAATATAATAACGTACATCTCTAGCGAGAAGGCAGCTCTAGATTGCAGACAGACCAAGATTATATATAGGGATGACATGGGAGGGATCCACAGAATTATTTAAGAAAATCTATTTCACTGGAGCCTTCTATTAAGTCTTGGTTGGCCTGGGGTCCTTGAGAGGCTGTTGAGGTGCATATTACCATCTGAGTCACATCCAAGACTGACATAGGTCCATCATCACAATGGTCTAGCTTAGCTTATCCACCTCACTACCTGAGCACCTTTCTTCAGTGCTGCTCTTGCCATGATCAGCACCACTGGGAAGACAACCAAAAGGATGGTGTACTAACCCCATGCTTAACACCTTTTCTAATAATGGTTCTGCTAGGAGAGAAGATTCCCAAAAGCTGCCTCTCCATCAGCGAGTACTACCAGAATGTTCTAGCTGCCATCCTACTCTTGTTGGGCCTTTTTGCCTTACTGGATAATACCATCAAAACTGTCCTCCTGGTAAGCAAACAGTGTTGTGAGGTGGGGAGGGCTGCCGCTTCTATCAGGGTGCGTCTAGACTACAGGGTTTTTTCAGAAAAATGGCCGTTTTTTAAAAAAAACTTCAACTATGTCCACACTGCAATCGCGTTCTTTCAAAAGAAAATCGAAAGAATGCAGGGATTTTCCCGACATTGGTAAACCTCATTCTCCGAGGAAGAACACCTTTTCCAAAAAAGCTCTTTTGGAAAAAGGCATGTGTGGATGGGGAAGAGGGAGTTTTTTGAAAGAAGAGGCCTCCAGGAAAAAGCACAGGTGCCCTGGTGGCCATTCCGCCCATAGTAATCACAGCTTACATGCAAGAGAGCGTCCGATGAGTGTGGACGCTCTCTTTTGAAAAAGCAGATCGCTTTTTTGATGCGCTTTTGAAGTGTGGATGCTCTCTTTCAGAAGACGTTTTTCCAGATCTCTTACAAAAAAGCTTCTTTCAAAAGAAGCCTGCAGTTTAGAGTACCCTTAGACCTCTGACACTTCTCCTTGAGTCCGTACTAACCACAGTGCCCTAGTCAAGTGCTCCTCTCCTGGATCAATACTGACCCCTATGTCCAAGATTTGTCTTCACTGGAATTAATACAGATATCTGTAGGATTTCATCCCTTACTCTGGGTGCTTATCTCCTAAAGCAGGGCTGTGTTGGGCAGAGGAGCGCGGGTTACCAATTGGGGGAAGGGTTGCCAGGTGTCCGATATTGTACCAGACAGTCTGGTATTTGCGTGCTTTGTCCGGTAAAAAAAATCAGAAAATACCGGACATATGCAATGTCCAGTATTTTCTGATTTTTCCGGCTGTGCACCAGACGGAAGCCTGGTGTGGGGGAGGGGGAGCAGCTGGGAGTCCCAGCGGGGAGGTGGGGCTGCGATTGCTGCCGGAAGCCCTCAGTCAGTTGCGTGTGAGGAGGAGGGGAAGCCCAGGTCAGTCCCGCTCCCAGCCGGCCAATTTGCTCACACCCCCTTCCCAGCCGGCCGGCTCTCCCCCACTTCCCCTCCTGATCTTCCCCAGCCACCTCCCTCCACCCCTCCCAGCTCTGCTTCCTGCTGGCCCATTCCTCTTCCTGATCTCCCCCAGCCAGCACCGCTGCACCGCCCCCGTCTGCCTCATGGCCTCCCAGCTTTGCTTCCCGCCCACCCATGATCAAGTGTGTCCGGTTTTTTGGGGGGTGGGTCTACTTGGTAACCCTACCGGCAGCAGCATCTATGTGAACAGCTCAAACCAGCTGAGAGGGAAGACGCTGGGGCTTCTCCCCTCTCAGCTGTTCCACAGCATTTAAACACATTACGCAGGTGCTCCCTTGGCCCCACACAGTGCCCTGGGTGGCATCGGGAAATTTAAAGTGCTGGTGCAAGACTCAGTATGTGGCGTGCTGGCACCCCGCATATCAGTCCGCCCCTGCCCCAGTCAGCATGTAACCAGCCCCTGCTTCCAGGCCCCGCCCTTCCTGGCCAGCACCGCTCCCTTCCTGGCCAGTTCCCCCCTCCAATGAAGCGTGTCCAGGTTTGTTTTGTTTTTTTAAATGACTACCTGGCTACCCGGTAATCTACTTTCTAATCTTTTCCCTTCAGTCTCTTTTGTCATTTCTTTAGCTTCTTCTCTCATCTTTTCAACCCAAGTCGTTTCAGCCATCTGGCAACCCTAATTGGGGGACATTCTTTCCTGTGAGTCAGTATTGACGCCACTGCCACAGTGTGATGTTAGGGGGCACTGTATTGCCATGGGTGATTCACTGGGCTTTTCTCCCATTCTGTAGTAATACCAATGTGGTGCTAGAGGGAGCTGTCCTGCATGGAATGCGGTCAATGACTCAGTACGGCCATTCGTCCTGGAGTCACAACGAAACTAGTGCCCTGATACAGTACTAGGTGCTGCCGTGCTGATTGAGCCTCCTGGATAAGACAGAACAGGTCTTCTGAGCACTTACGATCATCTAAGATCATACGGCAGTTTATGTAAAAGCCAAGAGTTTAATCACTGTCTCCTGCTCAAATTCTAGTCTCTGTAACTGCTGAGTCTCCTCTCCTAAGAGTTTTTATTTCCTATCCTAAAATGGTCCTCTGTTGTTAGCTGCCTGCCACAATATACTCCATAGCTGGCTGTTCCTTTGCAGTGAATGATCCCTGTTCATCTGTTGTATTTGAAAAAGGAGGTTATGGCTAATAACATTTGTAGTTATGCCCCTGAGAGAAGGGTAATTAGCTGTTATGCTAATCTCCCATAGCAGTAAGCAAAAGGGAATTTCCTCCCCTTGAATGGCATTCCACAGTTGGCCAGCGGCATTAGGGATTTTAACACTTTATTCTATGGGTATGAGATACTGGTCACTGCTGGAGGAAAGACACATTAGCTGGACTAGTGATTTGATAAGTGAGGAGCTGAGATTCTAGGCCAAATAGACCCGTGGCCTGAATTAATACAGCAGGTTGGGGAGAGGAAAATAAGTGGACCAGTGATGTGACCTAATTTAGCAGGATGTGGGGATATATGATAAAAAGACTCACAATCTGATCCACTGTGGATATAATCCTGTTCTGAATATCGTTCTCTTCTATTGCTGTTAATTATGTCCACTGAGGTATGACTGTCCAAATTTCTTCCATGTTATACCAGGGCCAAAGCATCTTGAAAATTGTTTTTTTTTCCCCTGTAGCGAGGGTGGGTGGGCAATTCCTGGTGAGTTTGCCCTTGAAATGTAAGATGTGATCACATTACAAGTTGTTGACTCAGTGGATACTGAATTTTTGAAGCCTCTTGCACTTGTAGTTCAGGTACAGATAGGTCAAGAATTTTTCCGACTAAATGTATTTTCATCAGAAAATGCCAATTCATTGGAACTGAAGCTGTTTGTGGCAGAGCATTGCAATAAAGGGATGTTTTTGAAATGGAAAGTCATTTGGGGATTCAAAGTATAAGTTATCTTACAGTTTAAAATAAGCCAAAACCAAAATGGAAAGTTTTGATTGACCCATACCAAAACTTTAAAAAAAAAAAAATTTCAGTTCATTAAAAAATTTGAGACTCACTTTTCTCACGGTTCAAAAATGGGAAAATTCTTCAAAATCTTGAAAATACTTATGGAATAGGAAAACCAGTTGCTGCTCCACTCTAAGGTCAGAGGCAATAGCCTCATTCTTTTGAGGTCAATGACAAAACTCCCATTGGGGGGAAAAGGGCCAGGAATTCAGGCTGGCAGAAGTATGTGTACTAGAGAGAAGCTGCTAACCCCAATGGCCACCACTTTTTTCTCCTTCTCACAGATCTGGATTTACCTGTGTCAGTTTCTGAAAAGAATCTCCCAGTATTTCGTCACCAAAGGTAAAGTGGAGAAGATGAGGGAACGTTCAATTTTGGTTTGTTCTAAACTGTTTTTGGCCAGTGCTAATTAGATGACGTTGTGTCCTAAACACTGGTATCTGCAGGAGCCCTGTCTACACAAGGGCTCCCATATACCATAACTACCACCAGCAGAGCTGCACCCAGACTAGCAGCAGTGGGAAATTTGAGAACAAAATCTTTATGTAGATGTGGTCTGTCCCTATCTCTCTGTTTATGTCCTTTACTGTCCCTCTCTGTCTCTTCAAGGTCACCTTATAGACAGGTCTGAGAAGAAGGAAGAAAGGAACCAGATATTGTCTGGCCAGAGATTACAGTAATTTATTCCTATAAGTTAGCTGACATATATATTGTACTTCCATGGATTCATTTCTTTTTTTTTTAATTGTTCCTCTTCATTCCCCTGAAGCATACAGATGGATCAAAGCACTAACAGCTATTTCCTGCAACAAGAAATCCAGCACTTGGAAGGAAGTGGTACTGAACAAAGGCCACAAGAACGTCTCCATGTTGCGCTTTCACTGCACTCTTGATCCTCTGAGGCTAACCGTAAACATGAACAACCTAACTGGTCTGAAAAGCCACTGTCCCCAGGATCACAGGAAGGACAAGAGTTACCATGGTTCCTGGCCAACCCATCAGGACACTGATGATGAGAAAGCCAGTTGGTATGGGCACCAGCAGCAACACCGTCAGGCAAACAACCGGCCTAACCAAGCTCAGCATTACCAAGACTGGGAGAGCCAGTCCAGCTCCCATCACTCAGACAGTGACAGTCCCCAGCCAGCGTGCCCAGCTGGATCCACTGTGTCATCAGTGCATTTTCACACTAGGTCCCCAGAGCACGTTGCCAAGGCCAGAGGCAGCTTGGTTGACTGGGGCATTTACATACGCAACCCCCAGAGGGCCACTGGGGATAAAGAGCTCCACCTGAACAGTGCAGGAGAAACTATGCGAGGGCAGAGTTTCCTGCACCAATCTGCTGTTCCCAGCACAGAGGAACCCATTGGCCTCCATTCAGAGTGCTCTGCTGTTCACGTTCATCCCCAAGTCAGTGAGGCACACTTCATCCCCAGCCCAATCCTCCCAGGCCCCAAGCGGGTAGTGTACTCTGCCCTGACTCCCACCCCAGAGTCGAGAACTTGTCTCAACAATGATTATCCCCACTCCGTGCCTCAGGCACGTCAGAGGAATCCTGAGCACCATCCTAGGACCGAATTTCACCAGAGCTTGCCACAGGCTCCACGAGCCGAAGTTTACATCTATCTCGTCAACCCACAGCCTTTCGGCTCAGAGCACACCCCTGAACAGACCTCCCGCCCCTTCTCGGCATCTCGCACCATCTTGGTCAAGGACACATTGGCAAAACGGGTATCTGTTGGCCACACCTGGGAAAGTTCCAACCAACGCCCAAGAGGGCAGGTTCTTTGTGACACCCACCCACAACGCAAGAGTATCTGGGAGAGAAAACACCAAACGAGCACTCTGCAGCTGAGCCCAGACTATGAGAAGCTGGCAGGAAGCAGTGATGGCGCCAGCTTAATCCACAATACACCTCTCCTGGCAGACATGACAAGAGGAGGTTCTGATACAGCACCACCTACCATTAACAAGTGAAGGTGCCATCTAACTGGAATTACCACCCAGCCGACTTAAATTTCTGGCATCGATAGGATTCCGATGCCTGGTTTACCCAAAGGGACCTGAACTACCTGGGAGGGAATAGCACAAAAGGCATTCTCTGCTATTCTGTGGTGCTCTCAGGACACGCTGGGTTCAATAAATAGCAAAGCACCAAGCTCCTAGTTATGCAGATTATTTGTAGTGGCAGCTGTGGGTGTGGGAAGAACCCAGGTGGCAAGGCTTCTTCATTTAAGAAGCGGCACTTCGTTTCCACATTGTCCCCACCTATCTTTCCCAGGTTAGCATGGCAATTCAGTCTCTGCTGCAGGAAGAGCAGGAGCTCTGTGATTTCTCCTCTAAACAGGTATTAATTTGGGGCACATAATTGTCAATAGGTGTAATAAAATGTGTGTCTCGTGGCACAAATGAGAAACTTCTTGCAGAACAGAAATAGCCTTTCTGATCTCTCTCTCACACTCACACACTTTCTTTCGTTCTTTCTTTCTTCTCACACACAGAGTTCTGGGAAAAGAGCAGGAGCTCTGTGATTTCTCCTCTAAACAGGTATTAATTTGGGGCACATAATTGTCAATAGGTGTAATAAAATGTGTGTCTCGTGGCACAAATGAGAAACTTCTTGCAGAACAGAAATAGCCTTTCTGATCTCTCTCTCACACTCACACACTTTCTTTCGTTCTTTCTTTCTTCTCACACACAGAGTTCTGGGAAAGAGATGTAAAGCATGCTCAGGAGGTATCAGAGTTTTAGAAGTGTACCTCCCACGTGCCTTTCCTGTCAGTCCCAAAATTACCTACATTCTACCCAAATTTCATGTCCCCTTAATTTTTCCAATGTAAATGATTTACATCATTAAAAATAAACAATTGTAGAACTCAGGTGAAAAGCTGTTCACACTAGACTGAATCCCACTGCATTTTAAGTTTCATGTATGTATAATTTTTGTGTTCCTCTTTGAAGGTCATTATTATTGATTGCATCCAGCATTTGGGTCTTCGCAGGCTGAGAGCTATGGCAAGAGGAGCCTGGCTTGCTGTGGAAGGCTTTTGAATGACCTGCCTTTGCAGTTTGAACATCGGGGATCTTTTGCAATACCGTCTCTAAATGGTCTGCAAGCAGAGTACCTCTGTAGGCTAACAGGTGGTCACAAGGGCCAGGCCTGGCATATCTTAATGAGTTTGCACCAGAGGGCATGCCTTCCAGCCCTAGCCGACAGATACACACTAACACTACTTGAGCTAGCATGCTGAAAATATCAGTGTGGATTTGCAGCATCAGCAGCATCACAGGCTAGTCATCTGAGCACAAGCCCACCTCAAACCTTGGGTCCATACTCAGGTTGATAACCCAGTTGCAACATCCACACGGCTATTATTGGGTCTGCCTACCCAATGCCTAGGAGGCATGCTCCCAGTAGCAGTGTAAACCTATCGGATGAGGCCTTTGTCAAGCTAGGACAAGAGATTGTGATTGGCACTATGCTGCCTAGCACATGGACTACCAAAACTTTGCCCATAGTCTAGACAGCTATTAAACAGTAAGCTCCTCATTCTGTGTGTGTGCAGCACCTAGTACAACAGGTCCATCCAGGACATGTAATTAACCATCAAAACAACTTACCAAGGGTCATGGCGGATTCTCCACCATTGACCATTTTAAAGTCAAGCTTGGAGGTTTTTCTAAAAGATCTGCCACAGGAATTATTTGGGGGAAGTTCTCTGGCCTGTGTTATCATCTACTCTGCCTTGTATCACAATGGCCCCTTTCTGGCTTTGGAATCTATGACTGGGGATTCTACTTGTTACCACAGTGAAAGTAATAATACTAGTAATAATTAACAATAATAAATCAATAAATAGTGGGTCATGATTGACCCAAGGAGGATGCTTACCTAACAGCATTAAACATGATCTCTTTTCCTAGTGTTATCAATAGCCTACGGGTCACATGCTGCTGCCAACTAACATTCCTGAGAAGGTTAAAGTAAGCTGTAACTAAGTAAACCCAAGGAGAGGTGACAGTGCTGGAGAATACAGAAGCTGGCCCAATACCTATTTTCAAAGTGCTGTGCAATGTCTGTCGGGACCCCCTGAATTTGAAATGATCAGAAATTGAAAGTTGTTCCCATCAAAAGACTCCCAACTGAAGCAACACACCTCGAGCAAAGGGGAGTGCCTCTGTTTCAATGGATGTTGAATGGATATTGCATTACAAGGATGACAGACAAAGGATTATAAAAGCAGGTCTGTAATAGAAGCACAGAGATGTCCCAAGGTCACCATTCAGGCCCCCAAAGCTGAAAAATTAAAACACAGAGAAAGGTTGGAGATTATATTTCCTCCTACAAATCAAACCAAATGTGACTTGGTGCTACTTCCCCCAGGATGCTTCAACCCTCCTTCCACTCTCAGCCTGGAGAGTGGCCAGCATCCAGACTAAGCGTTAGTAAACCTAACAAGCGGGACAATTCCCACAGTATATTTTCTTGTTCTTCAGATAACTGCCTTAAGCACAGAGCATCCAAAAGTCATGTCCCATCCAATGTTGCCTGCAGTAACCAACAGGCAAGATCTCCATAGCAAATCCAAATGCAAAGCCCTTAGCAGCTGGCAAAGCAGCAGCATTAACTGAAATAGGTCAAAGCTCCAAAGTAGCTCTGCTCAGTTTTAAAAATAGAAATCGTAAGTTTCCTGTGATGGGGCCTGATCCAAAGCTTGCTGAAATGAGGACATTCCATGGCTTTTGGATATGTACATGCTTCACAGTTCTCGCCCAAGGAGAAACCAGTTTAAGATGGGAAATTGCTTGGAAAAGCTCATGGGCTGCCGGTAGGAGTGTCCTTCTACAGCAGACCTAGAATTGCTGTTTTGGGGAAGAAGTCCACTCACCCAAATGGGCTCTGACTGGTCTTTCTCCCTCATTCTCAACTCTCATAAAGGTAGTTGAGTCCACTTTCTTTTCTCCATATTTAGTCTGATGTGATCCCCAGTCATCAGGCTATTTTGTGAACGTATGTCATGGGACAACACAGTCTCACGGTTCTGTGCTCTGGGATGTAGCTCACTCAGGTCATGCCAAAAGTTGAGCCTGCTTTGACAGAGTCACTGGGAAATCAAAGTAAGTAGAGGCTACCCATGATTTCTCCTCCTCCCCCCGTCCCCCCAGTTCTGGAAGTACTCTGCTGGTGGAGCTTGCCTGAATGCAAGGAGAAAGGAACCGGAGTTCAGACATGTCATAGCAGTGCTCTGTCTGCTCTCAGTGATATTGTTCTATTGTTCTCTACAAATATTTCCTGCCGGCTGACATGTGGGTAACCATTTGTGTAGCTTCCAAAGGAGGGTAGGAGTATTAGCTTCCTGTTCTTGTGGAGGAGCAAGGAATCTTTTATGAGCCTGTCCCTGCACAATATAAGTCCTGTGGAGATTAGCTAGTGCCATCAATTGGAGCACGATGACGTACTAAGAAAGGAGGTTTCAAAGGAGTAGCTGAGTTAGTCTGTAACACGAAAAACTTAAAAAACAACAAATAGTCTGGTAGCACGTTAAAGACTAACAAAACACATAGATGGTATCATGAGCTTTCGTGAGCATAGCCCACTTCTTCAGATGACCGGAATGTTGGCGGTCCAGAACCAAGAATAAAAAAGGGAAGTGGGGGGAGGGGAGGAATTGGGTAGATAACTTTCAAAGGTTTAGCTGAGCCAGTCTGTAACAGGAAAAACTAAAAAACAACAAATAGTCTATTAGCATCTTAAAGACTAAAGAGTTAAGAGGCTGATGTGAACCATTAGTTTAGTATTAGGAAAGGAAGAATACTAACACCAGATTCTACACAGACATCAAGAACCATTGGCACCTTCATTGGTTGGTGGGTTGATAATGTGCAAGACAACCGATATCGCGATTTAATTCATTAGCATGAGAGTTAAACTGAATGAAGTGGAGTTCCAATCCTCTGTGTATTTGGCTTGTGGAATTGGTCTGAAAGAAAACAGCAACTTGGAGATTCCTTAATGAGTGTCCAGAGAGATTAAAGTGTTCCCCAACAGATTTTTGTGTGTTGCCTTTTCTCCCCTCCCCCCCCCCTTCCTTTTTTTATTCTTGGTTCTGGACCTCCAACACATCTGAAGAAGTGGGCTGTGCCCACGAAAGCTCATGATTCCATCTACATGTTTTGTTAGTCTTTAAAGTGCTACCAGACTATTTGTTGTTTTTTGAGGGAGGAAGGAAGGTAAGTGAAATCAATGAGTTTGGTAATTATACTTTAGTAATCCAAGAAGGGGTTCACCCACCTCTAATGGCAGAAATAAGACAGGTGTAAGTGGCACAAATCAATGATAACGACTCTGGGCTGCTGAATTCCAGCAGGAACTGGTCATACAGCAGGGAAAATGTGCAACAATCCAGGGGCTCTCTGGACTATCCATTGGGGTGGGTCAGCAATGGCTCATGACTCCCTCCCCCAACACAAGCAAGTCACAAAATACAAGATCGCATTTGACATACACTTTTTCAGATACTGACTCTTTTTATTGCAAAGTGGCATGAGCTCATTCCTGCAGTTCGGCTGCAAAATACTCAACTAGCACTATTGACATGGGGCATAATCTTGCCCCCACTGTAGTCAATGTGGCCGTGAAGGGGAACATGACACTTTGAGAAACAGGGAGGTGGACTGCTCTCTCCTTCATCATGCACGAAGCCTGGAATGTGTGGAGTAATGGAATCAATGCAATAAAATACATAAACGGACAAGTGTGGAGTTCAGATTTCAGAATATTTTGTTTGCCTTAAAACAACTAGTTTTGGCTTGGGGGCTTTTATAAAAAAATCTTTAGAAAAGTGCTAGTCTAAGCCTGTTTTTCCCAAGTGTTCATCCTACAATGGTAAGACAGACAAAGAAAAGCTATGTATTGTGGACAAATTTTACATCCAGTGATGGACCCTAGTATAGAACCCTCTTCCTTCCAGCCATACACACAGAATGTAAAATCTGTTTGCTTGCTTTACTTCTACAAGGTCATAGCAACAGAATCCCAAAAAATGGCTGACGAACTATCATACCAAGAACATATTAAAGAAGATTTGTGGGTAATATGACTTATCCTGTTTCCAAAGTTTCTACTTCCTTATGCTTCGCCACGATAATCTATAGGAA